CATCATGATCATCATCATCGTCATCATCATCACCATCATCATCATCATCATCATCATCATCATCATCATCATTATCATCATCACCATCATCATCATCAACTCCTGCTACACCCCAGGCCACCCAAACATTTCTGTGCGGAGGGCGTCCCGGATGATTCCACCAGAGGCGCAGCAGCGAGCGAACGACACACGGAAGAGAGAGAGGAGGAGAAGGAGGAGGACCCAACGCACCCACACAACACCGAGGAGGAGAGAAAGAGAAAGAGGGAGAGGAGGGCGGGCCAGAAAAAGACTCGAGCCGACGCGGTTGCAGCGCATCGGCGCGACCACGATGGCCCTCGGTTCCTCCAGAGATGAGATGTGCAAACACGACCATATCCTGCTACACCCCAGGCCACCCCAACATTTCTGTGTGGCAAGCGTCCTGGGCGATTCCACCAGAAGCGCAGCAGCGAGCGAACGAGACTCACGGAAGAGAGAGAGAGAGAGGAGGAGAAGGAGGAGGAGGAGGAGGACCCAACGCACCCGCACAACACCGAGGAGGAGACCCGAGCCCGAAAGGAGAAGGGAAACCTTGAAACCCAGTTTGCCTTGCACTTAAATTCGTGAAATGATTACAAAACTTTACAGGGCAAGGCTCGGCGACTCGGGCCCAGAGGATCCCAGAAACGGGATCGAGGCCAGAGAGAACTATGTGGTGCTTCCCCGAAAATGAACAAATACCCTCCGTACAACTGCAACGTGGCATCACGAGACACTCAGGGTGATGACGGGCCCAGCAGGCCACTCGCGTGAACGTCCTCCAGAGGGCCCCGAACGAGCACATATCGACGTCGAGCGACACGGCGTCCTCGGCCCCCAGCATGGCCTTCATCGCGGGCGTGGCCCAGACCCACGGGCCCCCAAGGTTTTCGAGGAGACAGGGACCCTGGGCGAGCGGCACAGCGCGATCAGACAGAGGGCGAACCTGAGCTGCTGGTTCCCCAACTCCACGGCCGCCCGCGGCCTGGCTGCCAGGTTCGGTAGCCCCCAAGTGTCGCCCCTCGAGCGGATGGTACACCAACAGGTCCCCGGCGGCCCATGTCTGGCCTGACTCCAAGACGAACAAGGCAGAGCGATCCAAACGACCGAGGCGACGCCGCCTCGCACCCATCCCCGGACAGTCTGACGGACGACGGGATGGTCAAGATCGCACCATCGTTTCGAAGCGAAGTCCATCGGCAGCGCAGCCAGCCCACGGCGGCTCATCGCTGCCGACAGGCGGCCCGTCCAAGCGAACAACTCCAGGACAGCGGTTCGAGGGGGGCCCTTCTGACGTGTGAAACTCTCGTGAAGTTCTCTGCGGAGGTTGCGACGGATCGATTTCGTCGACAAGCTCCCCACGCCTGGGCCTGCGAGCTCCAGCGCCCGCGCGAGGCCAGGCACAGCGCGGGCAGCGGCGCCCCGCGCAGGAACACCTCCGGCAGCATGGCGCCCATGGACTGGCCGAAGGAGATCACCTGCTGGCCGACGCGCTGCAGCCCTGTGATGATGCGAGCCTGCTTCGCGTAGCGCTTGAAGTTCTTGTCGGAGGCCCACCCCCCGCGCTGCTGAACGTCGAGGGCCACCCGCCTCTTCGCCAAGAGGTTGTCCGAGGCACCCCCGCGGCGCAGTCCGCAGGCTGGGACTGGGAAGTCGCTCAGCCCCGGCGCGCGGGCTTCCTCCTCCCCAGCGGCCGATCGGCGGCAGGAAGAACTTCAGGGCCGCCAGGAGTCGCGACGCGTCGTCGCCGCTGTGCCCGTGGAAGCACAGGTAGTCGAAGCAGGCCAACACGATCGCGTCTAGCTGGGCCCAGCTGTTCCAGTCCAGGTGGAGCTGCAAGCACCACTTGACCCGCCCTCCTCTGGTGTTCGCTCAGCGCGGCCTTGCTGACCGACCACTGCTCGAGGTAGGCGGCCCCCATCAAGAAGCCCCCTTCAAGGCCTCCCGCTGGCGAGCGGCCGCTGCCGCGGGACAGCAGCCGTCAGGGCCCCTGCCCCAGCGGCCAGGGGGGCGGGCTGGAGGCGGGGAGCACGTCCTGTCGGCATCGGCGGTCTGGCCGAGCGGCCTCGCTTCCCCGCGGCCGCCTCGATGATCGAGGAGACGGACACCTCGGAGTCGACGTCTTCGATGTACCCGAGGCGCCGCGAGGGCGCGTCGGGAAGATTGAGCTCGCCGGGGGCCCACCTCGCGACGACGCGCAGCCTGCGGGGCAAGGCGTAGGCGCAGATCTCTCGCAGGACGCTGCGCTGCTGCGGCGAGGAGCCGCGGCCCTTGCCCATCGCCAAGGGGGGGGGACACGTCGTCGACGAGGCACGCGACCCTCTCCCCAAAGGCGTCGGCGGACCTGAGCTGGCGGCGCAGGGAGGACGCGACGGCGAGCCCCTCCGCGCGGCAGATGTCGAAGGAGCCCCTCCACGGGAACGAGCGCGCGATGGCCCAGCCTTCATCGATGAGGAGGTTCGGATCGACCTCGAAGAAGGACTCGCCCCAGTTCATGGCCTCGTCCGACGGCAGGGCGCCAGGATCGCAGAGCACGGCCACAGGTGAGCCAAGACCCAGCGCGTGATCGCGGGCGCGGGCCGACTCCTCAAAGAAGTACCGCCACCTCTCCGCGGCGCCGCCGATCTCGGCCACAGTCTCGCGGACGCAGCGGCGGCGGCAGACCCCGCAGCCCCGGCCCGAGGCGTCGCCGGCGGCGATCTCGCCATGCCGGCCCGCGTCCGCGAAGGCGACGAATAGCGGCAGCAGCGACCGAACCAGCCAAAGCTCGCGACGCACTGCAGGCCAAAGTGGCGGCGCCACGTCCCGCGACGCAAGGATGCAGGCGTAGACCGCATCGAAAATCGCCAGCGAGCATCTCTCGAGGAGCACGACCCAGGTGCAGCGGCCGACGAGGATCTCGAGGACGGGCCCGCGAACCGTCGGACGGCGGAAGAGCTCCTCAATAGCATAGCGAAGCCGCCAGGCTCGTCGCGGGGAGACCCGCGCTGAGTGGCGATGCCCATCAAATTCCAGCCCGAAGAAGCTGTAGCGGCAGGCAGCTTGGGCGACAGCACGACGCCCCGGCTGCGGTCGCGCACCTGCCGCGCGGGGCCGATGCAAGCTCGAGCGAGCGCGGCCTCGGATACGCACCGGCAGAGGTGCAGGGCCCATCGGCAAGATCGTGAGCTCAGGCACCAGCCAGTCGGACTCGTGGATCGCGATGCCATTCAGCTGAGCAACACCAGCAAGCCCAGCGCGCACCCGCGGCAACGAGAAGTACTCGGAGAGGTCCTCTGGCACCTGCACGGCGTAGAAGACGTCCGCGATGCCCCCGCTGGAGAACCAAGCGTCGTCGCAGCCCTGCGCCTCCACGCGAGCGAGAGCGCTGCCGCTCGGCAGCTCGGCGCAGGGCGGCGGCCCGAGCCGCGCATTGCATGCGCGGGCGTCGAAGATGAGCCGCTGCTGGCCTGACTTCTCGGCGACCACGAAGACCCTGGGGGGGCCGCGGCGGCCGCGAGCAGGAGAAAGGCGCAGCACGCCCCTACCCAGGAGCTCGCTGATGAACTCCCCGTAGGTGGCAGGATGTCGTCTGGGGTCGATGCAGGGTGGAGCAAGTCCGAGATCTCGTCGAAGAGCCGCTGCCTCCGCCGGCGGACGAACCACGCTGGCCTTCCAATCCTGCAGCCAAAAACGGCCAGCCTCCAGAAGTGCGTCGCGCAGGGCCACAGGCGCCGAGCCGCCAGAAGGCCAGGACACGAGGTCCTTGCTGCAGGAGACCACGTTGCCACGCCCAGCGCAGTAGAGCGGGCAACCGGAGCAGACGTCGGAGAGCGAGCTCGCGGGAGAGACGTCAGCAGGCGGGCCGCCGAACTTGACACACTGAGCTGCGATGTAGTCGAACGACCGCTGCCGCAAAACTGCGGGCCGCTTCCGAGTCGGAAGCGCCCCTCCCCCGCCGAGCCAGTTGAGCGCCTGGGCGCCGTCGTCGGCCCAGTCGATCCGAGCCCTCGCAGCGGCGCGCCCACCAGCGCCGAGGGGACCGCTACGAGGAAGTAATGGAAGAGGGAGGACATTTCGCTGACGACTGACTGCCATGGCGCGGCGACCAAGACGTCAGGAGCGATGGGCCGAAGGGGGGCCCTCCAGGATGGCCGAAGTCTCATCGACCTGGTCGCGCGACTGCGCGACCTGCACGATCCTGGAGAACTCGCGGCGCATGGACACGATCGGGTCGTCCAAGGGCACCGTCGAGCCAAGCGCCGCCCCCCAGGCTAAGTGGCGGCCCATGGGCGAGCCGCCGTCCCCCACCTGGCGCGTCGCAACCCAGTGGCAGGCGGAGGGGCCCGGGACGGGCCAGTCTGGGAAGGACGCGGGCCGCATGAGCTGGACGCTGCCCCTGAACTCCCTGTGACGTTGGCCCTGCGAACCGCACGCCGTCGCGAGCGTCCGAAGGTCCTCAGGTCCGCCACCTCCGCCTCCATCGACTCCAGGGTTCCCAGCAGCAGCGGCGCCATCATCTCCTCCAGCAGGCGGCCCAGCCACCAGTGCTGCGAGCCCCGCAAGCCCGCCTCCAGCGGCAGGCGCGACCGCCGCGTCTGAAGGGGCCGCCGGGGCGGGGAGGGCGGCGGCGGCGGCTCCGACCGCGGCCGCGGGGGCGCCCGCAGCGACGCCGCCTTCCAGGTGCCCACCGCCCGCGGGAGCAGCGAGGGCAGGGAGCGCACCGCCAGCGGCACCAGCACCAGCAGCAGAGGCAGCAACCGCGGGACCCGCCCCAGCAGCCTGGTCGTGCTCGACGATCTTCGCGGCACCCAAGGCGCAGGCCTGCGCGAGCTGGGCGACGGTCGGCGGCGCGGCAAAGTCGCACCGTCGGATCCCTGCTGGGATGACAGCTCCCGGCGGCGCCGCGGCGTGGCCCAAAACCTTCCACCAGTTGCGGATGCCAGCATTTCCTCCGTCGCACTCCCCCATGTAAACGTCAAAGTCTGGCGCGAGCACCGCGTAGTGCTCCAAGCCTCGAGACGAGATGGCAACCACGATGCGTTTGTGCGCCAAGCGGGCCGGCGGCTCGTCATACTCGACCCAGATCTCGTCGCCCACTGATACCATGAGCAACGGCCCAGCCCACCAACGCGAGGACCACGGCGCTCAGGCGAATCCACCCGCACAAGCTGTGGTGCGCGCGGGCTCGGGTAGCCCCCGATGGCGGGCCGCCTGGCGCGGCCCCGGCAAGGGATACGGGCCGCCGCCACGGCAAGCGAAAGCCCCCAGCGCAGCAGCTCGGAGTCCAAGAGCAAGAGTCCGCACAGCGCCGCCTCCCAAGGGCCTGCTCCCCGCCTCGCAAGAGGGACAGGGCGGGCAGGGCGAGGGGCAGGCGCGCGCCGCCTCCCTCGCGTCCAGGGCAGCCGCCAGGCAGTCAGCCAGCGGGACCTGGACCCCAGCGGCCTCGTACGGCGCTGGGAGCGGGCCCGCCTCGAACAGCGGGGGCGGCCCGGCCGCCTGCACGGGCGTCGAAAGCGCCTCGGGGACCGCGGGCGCGGTCGGCTGAAGCCACCAGCGAGCCAGCAGCAGCAAAATGGCGTTGCTCGCGAGCGGGAGGCCGAACCCGGTGCCACTGAAGCGCATCCGGGCGAGGGCCTCACCCTCCAGAAAAAGACTTGAGCCGACGCGGTTGAGGCGCATCGGCGCGACTACGACGGCCTTCGGTTCCACCTAAAATGAAATGTGCAAACACGGCCATCATCATCAGCAGCAGCAGCATCATCATCACAACCACTGACACCATCATCTTCAGCATCATCAGCACCATCACCGAAAACAACAGCAACATCAACAACAACACCATCATCGGTGTCGCCATCGATCTGTCATATCACAACATGCCGTATCATCGCGGACACCACCATCCTAATCCTCAGCATGATGATCATCACCAGTACCGCCACCAACCACCACCACCATCGCCACCATCATCGTCACCATCAGCATCATGATCAGCATCATCATCAGGATCAGCATCATCATCCTCATCATCAGCAGCAGCATCATCACTAGTATCATCATCATCAGCAGCAGCATCATCGGCAGCATCATCATCAGCAGCATCATCTGCATCATCATCCCATTCCTCCATCCCATCCTCCCCCTCCTCCCGGTAGAAGAGCAGGCGAAGATGGAGAAAGAACGACCGAGGTCTGCGGGCCCTCGAACTTCCTCTGCGGAGCACTGAAGCCCCCAGGTGCCCTTGGATACGTCAGTAGACAGGAGGCGTCCACCTCCTCCTCCCCTTCCTCCTCCTACTATTTCTCCTCCTACCTTACCGCCACCTCCTCCTCCTCCTCCTCCTCCTCCTCCTCCTCCTCCTCCTCCTCCTCCTCCTGCTCCTCCTCCCCTCCTCCTCCTCCTCCACCTCCTCCTCCTCCTTCTCCTCCTCCCATCCTCACTCCGCACGTATTCATCTTCCCATTCCTCCCCCTCCCTCCTCCTCCTCCCCCTCCTCCTCCTCCTCCTCCTATCCCCCTTCCCCCCCTTCTGTCCTATCCTGCCCCTATCCGCCCTCCCATCCTTCCACCCCCTCTTCCTGCCCTTACTCCCCTCATCATCCGCCTCCCCCTCATCCTATGGACGGTTAATTATGGTTCAAGCCCTGGCGCCCTCGTCCTCCTCCATCTCATCCTCCCCCATATGCCTACTCCTCCTCTTGCTCGTCCTCCTACTCCGCGACCCATGCACGCATGACGCATCAGGGTGTGTGATCACAGGGCAAGACGTGTGAGAAGGAAGCCCGCCGCAAACCTCCTCCTCCTCCGAATCCGAATACGAATCCGAATCCGAATCCGATTCCTCCTTCGAATCCTCCTCCGAATCCCAATCCTCCTCCTCCGAATCATCCTGGTTCTCATCCTCCTCCTCCTCCTCCTCCTCCTCCTCCTCCTCCTCCTCCTCCTCCTCCTCTCCTCCTCCTCCTCCTCCTCCTCCTCCCTCCTCCTCCTCCTCCTCCCTCCTCCTCCTCCGCCTCCCTCCTCCCTCCGCCTCCTCTCCTCCTCCTCCTCTCCTCCTCCGCCTCCTCCTCCTCCTCCTCCTCCTCCCTCCTCCTCCTCCTCCTCCTCCTCCTCTTCCTCCTCCTCGTCCTCCTCCTCCTCCTCCCCCTCCTCATCCTCCTCTTCCACCGCCTCGCCCGGAGGAGGGGGCGGAGGAGGGGGCGGAGGAGAAGGAGGAGGAGGAGGAGGCGAAGCCCCCGCGGCAGAAGGAGGATGGGGCGAGGACAAGGACGGGGAGGGGAGGAGGAAGAGGCGGAGCCCCACCGACAAGAGGAGGACGGAGCGAGGAGGAGGACGAGGAGGAGGAGGCAGCCTTCTCCTCCGTGCCATCCGACGCGGCGTCGCCGCCGCCGTGCGCCAGCGCCGCGGGCACCGCCGCCTTGCGCACTTTCGGTTCCGTCTCGGCCATCCGAAGACAGGCGGAGGGGGCGCCCGCCAACGTGCCAGGGCGCGGTGCCCTGCGGCGACGGAGAGCGCGAGGGGATCGGGGAGGCAGGTCCTGGATAAGAGCGGGTCCCTCTTGCCTCTCTCATCATTCTCTTCGGCCTCCCACCTTCCTCATCCTCCGCCTTCCTCCCTTTTCCAACCTGTTCCCTCCTCCTCCTCCTCCACCTCCTCCTTGTCCTCGTCCTCGTCCTCCTCCTCCTTCTGCTCCTCCTCATCCTCCTGCTCCTACTCCTCCTCCTCCTCGGATCGGGTCGGATCGGATAAACTGAAGGCAATTTGTCAATGTGAAGCCTCTTCTAGGGCGGAGCGACAGAGAAAAGAAAAGTACAGGAGCGTCAACTTCGTCGTCAGCCGTCAGAGGCGAACATGTAGACCATCAGGGGTCCAAACCAGCAAGCACACAAACCGCCTCCTCCTCCTCCTCCTCCTCCTCCTCCCCTCCTCCTCCTCCTCCTCCTCCTCCTCCTCCTCCTCCTCCTCCTCCTCCTCCTCCTCCTCCTCCTCCTCCTCCTCCTCCTCCTCCGAAACCTCCGAATCCTCCGCCTCCTCCTCCTCCTCCTCCTCCTCCTCCTCCTCCTCCTCCTCCTCCTCCTCCTCCTCCTCCTCCTCCTCCTCCTCCTCCTCATCCTCCTCCTCCTCCTCCTCCTCCTCCTCCTCCTCCCTCACCCGTTACCTTCTCCTCATCATCATCCTCCTTTTCCTCCTCCACCTCCTCCTCCTCTTCAAATTACTTTTTCATTGATATGAATACATGTTGCTTCTTGTTTCTCCTGCTTTTCCTCCTAGAGTCGGTACGAGGTTTCCGTGCACAGCAGGAGGCTCAGCCAGCAAGCCTCCCAAATCACACAGAGATGAAGATTTTATCATGGAACGCTGCTGGAATGAGCGAAGAGTCATTGGAAACGTTTTTAATTGGAGCTGTCAATTTGAAATTTCGTTGGGATATGATTACCTGACAGTTTTTGCTGATAGGTTTCTAGTAGGATATCTTGACGCCCCAAGGGGGTCTGGGCGGGATCCGGACAGATCCGGACAAAAGTGCAGCCCCAAGAATCCTTAGGAATCCTGGAATCCTTAGGAATCCTTAGGAATCCATCCCCAGAACACGATTCCCAGGCCGCATCTTGAATGCCTGGAGCCAACTGTAGGCCGCTTCGTGTTCTCCGTGTTCCCAGAACACAATTCCCAGGCCACATTTTGAATGCCCGGAGCCAACTGTAGGCCACTTCGTGTTCTTCGTGTTCCCAGAACACCACTCCCAGGCCACATTTTGAATGTCCGGAGCCAACTGTAGGCCACTTCGTGTTCTTCGTCTTCCCAGAACACCACTCCCAGGCCACATTTTGAATGCCCGGAGCAAACTGTAGGCCACGTCGTGTTCTTCGTGTTCCCAGAACACCATTCCCAGGCCACATGTTGAATGCCCGGAGCCAACTGTAGGCCATTTCGTATTCTTCGTGTTCCCGGAACACCATTTGTGCACCATACTTTGATTGCCCAGAGCCAACTGTGGGCCACTTCGTGATCTTCGTGTTCTCAGAACACCAGTCCTGTGCCATATTTTGAATGCCCGAGCTGAGGCACGCTGAGGCTGACGCAGGCTGAGGCCGAGGCAGGCTGAGGCTGAGGCTGAGGCTGAGGCACGCCGAGGCAGGCTGAGGCTGAGGCTGAGGCAGGCTGAGGCTGAGGCAGGCTGAGGCTGAGGCTGACGCAGGCTGAGGCCGAGGCAGGCTGAAGATGAGGCTGAGGCAGGCTGAGGCTGAGGCAGGCTGAGACTGAGGCTGAGGCAGGCTGAGGCTGAGGCTGAGGCTAATGCAGGCTGAGGCTAAGGCTGACGCTGAGGCTGAGGCAGGCTGAGGCTGAGGCTGAGGCCGAGGCAGGCTAAGGCTGAGGCTGAGGCAAGCCGAGGCAGGCTGAGGCTGAGACTGAGGCTGTGGCTGAGGCTGAGGCAAGCTGCGGCTGAGGCAGGCTGAGGCTGAGGCTGATGCAGGCTGAGGCTGAGGCAGGCTGAGGCTGAGGCTGAGGCTGCAGGCTGAGGCGAGGCAGGCTGAGTGAGGCCGAGGCTGAGGCTGAGGCTGAGGCTGAGGCAGGCTGAGGCTGAGGCTGAGGCAGGCTGAGGCTGAGGCAGGCTGAGGCTGAGGCTGATGCTGAGGCTGAGGAGGCTGAGGCTGAGGCAGGCCTGAGGCAGGCTGAGGCTGAGGCTGAGGCTGAGGCTGAGGCTGAGGCAGGCTGAGGCTGAGGCTGCAGGCTGAGGCTGAGGCCGAGGCTGAGGCTGAGGCTGAAAGGCTGAGGCTGAGGCAGGCTGAGGCTGAGGCTGAGCAGGCTGAGGCTGAGGCTGAAGGCTGAGAGGCTGAGGCTGAAGGCTGAAGGCTGAGGCTGAGGCTGAGGCTGAGGCTGAGGCACGCCGAGGCTGAGGCTGAGGCTGATGCAGGCTGAGGCTGAGAGGCTGACGCTGAGGCTGAGGCTGAGGCTGAGGCTGAGGCTGAGGCTGAGGCTGAGGCTGAGCTGAGACAGGCTGAGGCTGAGGCTGAGGCAGCAGGCTGAGGCTGAGGCTCAAGCTGAGGCAGGCTGAGGCTGAGACTGAGGCTGTGGCTGAGGCTGAGGCAAGCTGCGGCTGAGGCAGGCTGAGAGGCTGATGCAGGCTGAGGCTGAGGCTGAGGCCGAGGCAGGCTGAGGCTGAGGCCGAGGCAAGCCGAGGCAGGCTGAGGCTGAGGCTGAGGCTGATGCTGAGGCAGGCTGGGGCTGAGACAGGCTGAGGCTGAGGCCGAGGCAGGCTCAGGAGGCTGAGGCAGGCTGAGGCTGAGGCCGAGGCAGGCGAATCCTTAGGAATCCCTAGGAAGCCCTAGGAATCAGGATTCCTAAGGATTCCTAAGGTTTCCCGAAGATTCCTGTGGATTCCTAAGGATGCCTAAGGATGCCTTAGGAATCCCTAGAAATCCTTAGGATTCCATTGGATCCTAAGGCCGTTGCCACTGCGACTGTCATTGCGAATGCGACTGCGACTGCGAGAACAGCAGAATTCGACAACTGAATTCTCACCTGAATCTTGAAGGGGAATGCTGCCAGATATGCTTATACACATCGCAGTGAGGTTGCTCTGCCGGGATAATTTTGGTACGAGAAATCCCAAAGAGCGATACCAACACGATCGACGATGTCATCGGAGGACACTTATAGTGTGTGGGGGGGCCGCGGAACTAGGGACAAGAGTGCAGCAATTCTCATTCACAGGCATTGGGTATCTGATTTCGAGAGTTTCGATGTCGTCGAGGGCGGGCGCATTGCATACGCGGATGTTGCCGGTCACAGGGGAAACTGGAGAATGATATCTGCGCATCTGCCTCACGCTGGTCGCTCGGACGTGGAATACGCAGCAGCGTTGTACATGTTACGTTCAATTATTCCGGCACGCCGTAGCGAGAGGCACACTGTGATAGGAATTGATGCGAACGCAGAGGTGGGCCAGCTAGGCAAAGAGGACAATCCAAAATGCATCGGCATGTATAGCTTGGAAGTGCGGTCTGACAGGGACGACCAGTTTTTGGCATGGGCGAATCAAAACAAGTTCAGACAGACAGACAGAGAAGCCAGGCGCCCGGACGGCGCATCGGCAACAGAGCATTCACTAAGGATTGACCGGCCCCCGCGCGCACCGAGCAAACGTGCAAAATTTCCAAACAAATCACCAATACAAATCACCAATACAAATTTCCACAACAACAAAAAAAATGAGAAACACATGAACACACAGACTGTGGAGCACAGGAGAACGCAGGCAGATACATTACGTTTTGGTGGATATGTCCTTACATTCAGAACTACGCAATACCAATATTGTGTCCGACCTCATGTACCGCACAGACCACAGGGCAGCAGGGGCGAAGTTCGGCACGGTTCGGAAAAAGAGGAAAAAATGGGCACAGCCACTTGCAGGAAAAGGATGGGTTTCAAACGTGGATAAAGACAAATACCATGAGGCTCAGCGTCTTGCAGTCCCCCAGCGCCCCAAAGATGCGACAGAGGTGACAAAAGCAGCATTGAAGGCAGCGGAAGAATGTGGCAAAGCAGATAAAACAGCGGGAGCGAAACAGTTGGGAGAAGACGAGCGGATTCAACTGTTGAGGAAGGAAAGGGATGTTTCTCTCCCCGCTTGGACCCCCCAGTTCTTTTAGCCGACGCTCACCAGAGGTTTGTCACAGAGCGGTGGCCTCTCGGGCAGAAAACGGAGCAGAAGAGTTCCACTGAACTTCCTGCCCCGTCTTGCCTCTCGCCAGCGCCGCCAGCCCCGAGCGGCCGTTTTTCCCCCCGGAACCCGAGGCAGGGCCCTCGGAGGCCTTTGAATCCAGGAACCCCCCACGGGACACCAAAACGAGACCGGAGAAGGGCCGCCAGCAGCCCGAAGGGAAGAAAGGCGCTGGGCGAGGCAAGGCGCGACTGAGAGGGCAACGACACTCCCAAGAACGCTCTTCCACGACTCCCTCTCTGGCTGCGCCGAAAAGTTCTGGCCACATCGTAGGCCAGCAGACTGCCAAGATAATACAGTCGTTGATGGCGAGAACTGCATTTATGAAAGGGCCTGCTGACCTTCTGCTATGTGTATAGAGCAGTGGCCAAATCCTGCCATCTCCCCTTCTCACAGGTGGCAGGCACATTACGAGTTATCACAAAATACGATGTGGCCCCCCCTCGTCGAAGACTGTAAAGACGGAACTGAAACTGCTGGCATTCGAGGGCAGCGCACAACTGCTCAAATTTCTCACGAAAATCACTGATGCTCGAGTTGAGTATGAGAGCATCAGGACTCAGATGGCGAAGCAAGAAACTGGCGAGCTGCACAACTGACGGGTCATCAATCACAACTGACTCTCGCCGATGGAATCGCAAGCCACTTCTTGTGATCGGAAAGATGATCACTATTTTGGCGCGAGCCTCGTCGATAGCTATCTGCCTCCGGCGCAGCGTCAGCATCTCGGCGGTCCTAAGGAAGCCTGCGAAGCCCAGCACGAGCAGCGC